CAGGATTGTAAGGTGCCAGGCTATCGATTGTAATCTTATGATAAGAGAGAGCTATGAATGATTGGTTGGTTTTTCTGCCTTTCTAGTGTGATGTGTACTCAAGGTGGTTAACAAAATTAAAATTAAAATAGAATATATGGTTAGATGCCATTAATTAACATTTAAACAGGCAATAACAGTGTCACAAAGCCTGGGGAAACAGGTGCATTTTACTCATTTTCTAATGGAGTAGTACTGGATAAAGCCTTTTTCCATGGGTCAGAAAAAAAAACTCTGATGCCAGGGTCATTTTCAAACAGATCTTTCCTGCAGATTATAATGTCTAGACAGTTTTATAAGAAAGGAGATGGCCCCTAGATAGTCAGATTATAAACTATCTAGTCCTAGATCAATTCCAACAATGTATTAAGCAGTTGGCAACTAGCACAGCCTTTATCTAATCTCCAATAGCAGCCAACCATGCTGCATCAACAGCAACTTCAAGACTTTTTTTGAGGATAGCCCCACACAGTAAGCATGTTACAGTAATCCAGCTGGGAATAATTCTTGCCAAAACAGACTGCACCATCTATAATTATGCAGAGGTACTGCTCACCACAGATGCTACCTGCAAATTGAGTAACAACCGAGGATCAAGGAGCCGTCCCAGACCACAGAGCTGCTCCTTCAGAGAGTAAACAACCCATCCAAAGTAGACTGAGCTTCAGACTGCAGTTCCTTATTTACCATCAGTGCCTTTGCCTTGCCAGGATTGAATTTTTCTTTCATCTCCCTTGTCCTGCCCTAATGGTAAGTTAGGCAAGGGAGGAAGTATCTCTCAGACTAATTTAGGTGACAAGGTTAGAAGTCAAAGTCAGAATATGAGAACTTGGGGAAAGCAGCACGTACTCTGACGGGAAGATTTCTATGGGCTTAATCAACTTCTTGAGAATGGTCTCTTTTGGTTTTATTTTCAGAAATGTACATCCTATTTATTCATATGTATGACAGGCAGAGCAACACATACTTTCCCCTTTCACAAAAAGAGGCACCTTGTCTGGCTGAAAGACAAGTATCCTTGTAAAAGGTGATGTGACTGATCACAGAAGAGAAGACCAACGTGCAACTATTCCCTTCCAAAATGATAACTAAGAGAGGAAAAAGAGACTTTCTTCCTTACTGTACTTCTCAGTTATGAAGTAGAGATATCTTGAAACAGTTTCTAACTCTTAGATAATAAGTTAGAATTTCTATCACAGCAATTTGTTAGGATATCCATCTCAGGCAGACAAAGAAGATGGCAATCTGGTTTTTGAAGATTGCCGTACATCTTGCCCTGTTCGACATCATATGAAGTCACAAGACAGAGAAGCTGCAGAAATAAACACTGGACTGCATCAGCTAGAGAAATGATTGAAGAAGAAACACAATTTTGTCCTATATGTCATATATTTGTTTTCATACCATAATCCTTCAAGCCTTATATTGTCTCTCTTGATGACCAGTCTAATAAGGGGTTTAATAAGGAGATGACTTATTTAATCAGTGCTTAACAAGACCATTGGGAAGAAAGGTGTTCAGAAAACATTTTAATGCCCATTTTCTAATTTCCTATTTGTGGAACAATATGTAAACAGACTTCTTTGAATTTTGTACTTGTCTGAATTTAGCAATCCCGTTCTGCAATTAAAAAAAAAATGAGTACAAAAAGTCTTATTACTGCCAGGTGCTCATTATGGTCGATTTAATAAGCGTATAAGAATAATATTTTAACAAAAATGTCAGGAAAAAATTGTTCTGTTTGCTGTTTGTTTATTTGTTTGTTTGTTTAATTTTTATGCTTCCCATCTCCCCTAGAAGGGATTTTTACCCAATTTTACATTATCAAATTAATATGTAATTACAATTCCTTTAAAATTCTCATTTTTCTATATTTTATGATACAATTATGCTTTGTCAAAATGAAAGGTTCAAAAAAAATTAATATATTGACAAATTTGAATACAAATCTTTATAAAATGGCTGCATGTTAATCCCGCCTTCATGTACTAAAAAAAAAGTAAAATGTGGATCATTTTAATAGATGTTGAATCATGGTGATCTTTGTATTTTATTTTGACATATTAATATTTTAAGTTTTAATATTAACATTTCAAACATTTTTTTTCATTTTCACTCACACTTTAAAAAGCGAATTAAACTGAGTAGTAAATGTTCACAGAAGAATAAGATTTCCTCCCACTCCTCCCAAAATACAGATGTATAAAAACTGCTTTTAAAAATTTTGTAGCAATGTTATCAAGTCTCAAAAGGAGATTAAATTTAATCTATTTAGCATTAGCTGTAGACAAGAAAAGCCAGATCACCTGGATAGAACTAAGCATTGTAAACAAACATGCGGTCTTCATTCTCACACTCTCCTTATAGCACTAACTTTGGCAAGAAGAAAATGGCTTGTTGCATGAAGAATCATTACTGAGTAATGCACTACTATCCTTTTAGGTGGAAATCAGCTTATGCACAAATGGGTCATGCAGGGCAGTGGTGGGATTCAGCTGGTTCACACCACTTCAGCAGAACCGGTAGCTAATTTTTTCTTGCCCAGGCCCAGAATGGACACCCGGAAGCGGCATCCACACAGAGAACTGGTTGTTCACATATTTGAATCCCACTACTGATGCAGGGCCCATATATACAGGATTGCCTACTATGAAACTTGTATAACCCTTAGATTTCAAACTCCAGGCAGATGAAAACTCATAACAATGTATTTATTCCAGAATTAAATCTATTCTCATTAGTTGTAACATTTATATATATACAGTATATATCAGTCTGAAGATGACGAGTGGGACCTCGTCGAAACGTTGCCAAGATACTCTCAATTTTACACGGGAAAAGACCCGAATATGCCAAGACCTGCATATATATATATATATCCCAAAATTTCTGTTGCTAAGCAAAACATTTGTTGAATGTTACGTTAGTGACACAATTGTTAAATGAATCTGGCTTCCTCATTGACTTTTGCTTGTCAGAAGGTCACAAAAGGGGATCACATGAACCTGGGACACTGCAACCATCATAAATATGAGTCAATTGCCAAGCATCTGAATTTTGACTATAAACAAGTCGCAAATGTGAAAAACGGTCATAAGTCATTTTTTTCAGTGCCATTGTCACTAAATGAACTGTTGTAAGTTGAGGACTACCTGTATTTTATGAAGGGCTATGAATGTTATTAGCTAATGCTTTATATATTTTCTGGTGTAAATTTTGAAGTCTCCCTTTGCCTTGTTTCTTAAATGGATAGTGCACTCTTGAGTTCAGGTTGGACATCATCAGTAGAAAGGAAAGCAAAACAAAAAAACACAAAACCACCAGTGGCACCACTAGCAGCAGAAGATATAAACTGTTGGACCTCAATATTTTCTAACCATTTGAGGAACTGTTGAAATTAAGCAATGGGAATGAGAATTCTTGAAAGTTGGAGGGCCGTTGTTATATACAATATAACGGTGTTTTTACTGTTACTAAATTATACTTTCAGCAGCAAACAGATTTAGAAACGGGCAGCCTGTTCTATGTTACAAAAACATGGAGAAATGTACTTTCAAAGAAAATACAGATAAAGCTTCAACCCTGCCCGTGTTCACATTCCTTAATCACTATAAAACAAGCCATGAGCATCTTCTCACCACCTAGACATAAAAGATGTACAAATACTTTTATCAGGCGAAGCAATTTTCTTCCTGTGAATAATAAGCTTTTTGGCTTATGTGCCCGAATCCAAAATGGTCGTCTTTGGGGTTCCCAAGGAACTGAGAGTTATATTGTACAATAAGTTCAGGTTTCCAGACACTCAGAATGTTTTACAAGTCTGGTTAAATGCAATTGAAATAAAATGGCGGTACTGTACATGATGACTTGTTAACCAGCTAAGCCACGTAACCCAATCAGTGGAGGAACATATATAAAACAAGATTTCTAATTTGGGACATTGTAAAAATAATGATTAGTCATGACTGCATAAAATGAAAAATATAGATGTGTCAGCTATTATGGTTGACTTGTATAGACTATATCTATATGCAACATACTGGTATCATTTATAATCTGATGATGATTTTTAACTAAAGAAGAACAAAAATATGTGATGCAGTAGAGCTTGAAATCTGAGGAACTAAATAAAGGATCTGAGATTAAGGAGTGGCTCAAAATGTAATGCAGAAGTCCATCTTAAAGCAGGGGAAATTCACTGTAACATTATTGCTTAAACTAACATGTGAAAAAAGCTTATATAACATCCAAATGTGAATCTATTGAGTTACATATCATACTAAGGAATAACAGTAGCAGGACTGCAATCTTAAATATTCTTGACAAAGAAGCCTAAATGCTAAGCACATTTGCACCGAAAAAGAACACACTTTAAATCTTTTTCCCCCCAAAAGAAATCTGTTCCAAAGGAGATCTTCACTGTGGTGTGAATGCTTTCAGAGTTTGCACAACCCAAAGACCACATAGGTAATGAAGGAAGACCTTAATCCCTGGTGGACAGCCTCAGATTCAGTGTGGAAAAAAATAACCAAAACCACATGGTTAAGATCCCAAATGATTAAGTTATCTGGGATTTAAAAAAAATTCCCTATGAGAAGAAAACTATTTCCATATGGGCATCTCTGCTTCCTTGAATGTTGCAGGAGTGTTTAGAGTTCATTTCAGCATGCTGCTTATTTATATAACTCATAGGCTGGACCTGAATTTTACTCAACCAAATGGTGTTTAGTTTGAGGTTCTTGATGATCATAGAATCATGGAACTCAGAAAGAGGGATAGCAAGGCCTAAGACCTTTTAAGGTTATGGTCAACCCCAACCTTTCTTCAAAAAAAACCAAGCATGAGAGACTGACTTTCAGTTTTAGAGCTAATTATTTGATCAAACTGATTCAAGGCAACATAGTGCTGTTGCTGCAATTATGAAGAGAACCTGTGGTATCAAAACAAAGGAAGGCACCTACCATTTATGAAAACATCCATGTCCACAAGAGCCAAGCCAAACACCAAGAGTTCTAGCCACAAAAACATGGTTATATCCAGGGATTATATGTATCCTTACAAAACAGCATGTGGATGTCTGTCTCTGGAAAGTAAAATAAAAGTTATTGCTCTCTGTGAAAGTCATGCAAAGTCCCCATCAAATGTAGAACAGACTGTACGCATACATTGAAACTCGTCTTTATAATCCAAGAAGCAGCTTCCTCTGTCAGGCAAAATTTAACTACTGGCAGTCACACTCTACAGCAAAGTGATGTCAGTTTTACTCACTTCTCTAAAACCACTTTTTCTTCTTTCTTCAGTTTCCAGGAAGTAACAAAGAGGGTGGTTTTTTTTTCCTGAAGTTATTGCTGTTCTGATATCCTACTTAAGAAGCAATTGCTTCGGTAGAATTGACGTTTTTCTTTCAAATGTTGAAGTAAAATTAAATATTCTTATCTTTGATCAAAGAAAAATAAAAACCCTGCTATTCAAAAAAGAAAATGAGGCAAACTTTTCTATAATATAATATAGTGACAAGTTTAAAAACAAGTCTACATTACGTGATCTCATTCTTCTTTAAAGTACTCACTAGGATAAACAGATGTGGACAGACAAGGATGATATTTTCATGAACCTAAAGTAAATGAAGTAACTGTGCTAAAACTCTCATTTGTGATCGAGCATGCTAGCTAGGATTATGGACATTATAGTATAACAACAAGCCTGAAAACTAGTTTAAGAATCACTCATCTGGAAGAGTTAATACATAAAATATTAGCATGTGCAGAAATGGACAGGCTCACAATGATACTAAAAGATAAATGTGGATCAATTTTTTTTGAAACCTGGGATAAATTTTACCGCTGGAGGAATTTGAAAAGGACAGCTGGGATTAAAGACGAATGTTAAGATAGAAATGTATGTTACTTTAGAATAGATAATGTATATAAAATTTAATGTATATGTAGAGATAATGAATTGATTGTAAAATATGGTATAATCTGATAAGAATGTATATACTGGAATGTCATGTCAAATCCAATGTTTTTTTTAATTGTTTTATAAATAATTAAAAAAAAGAATCACTCATCTAAATTAGACGTATGCAACTTCTTTTTTCTTTTTTTTTTACAGACTGAGGGCCACATTTGGACTTTGAGTCGTAGTAGTAGTAGAAGGTCTACCTTCCGAAAATGAATGAGATTAGAGGGGGAAACTAAACTAAGTTTAAATGTAATTTTAATTATATTTACATTAGTATGCATCTAATGTTTCTTTTCTGCTTCAATCAAGTAACAACTTCTGAGGGGATCTGTGAAGGATATGCATTGCCTTTTACTGGTTGATCTGAGCATAGTGCAACACCAATCCATGGAATGTTTATCAAAACCATCAGCTGACCCTATCTCCTCTGATTCCTTTACTTGCAATAATTTAGGCACAAAGAATACATGTCACTATGGGGACAAGTAGGTATATGTGTTTTTTCTCCAATCCTATCTCCCATGTCAATTACTCAGGGAGTAATCCTATGCTAAAGCAGTTTTCAGAGCAGTAGAACTACTGAAGTAGAGTCATTTTCTGTGAGATTGCCAGTCATATAAATTTGATTAGTAAAATATAAATAAACCCTTAGGTAACTATTTCACAATTTTTATTGGTTTATTTATTAAATTTATATGCTGCCATCTCACTCTGAAAAGGAACTATGGGCGGCCTACAATTAAAATAACAAATATTTTAAAAAAAACATTAAGTACAAAGACAAGAAGCAAAAATGGTAAGATCGGTACAGAGGTAGCATCTTTTCAGTTAATTCATCAGCCAACTTCAACACTGAATGCCCCCATCAAAACTCCAAGCTAACTGGCATAGCCAGGTTTTAACACGCTTCTGGAAAATCAAAAGGGCTGGAACAGACGTCACCTCTGTCTCTTCAAGATTATAGCTGCATTAATTTTCACACAGCTGACAAGAGGGCTGATTTGAGAATAGGCTGGCATAAGTTCTCTTTCCATACTGGCCTGTGTATTGGCCATTATGAGAGAAGAGTAGCTGATTTTCCTGATGCTATCAGACATGGCATCAGAAATCTTGGGAGACAAAATTGAATCCCCCACTTATCTACTGATGATAATCACTGGGCATTTTCATTGTGCCAGGTGTTAGCTTTTTCTGCTACAATGAAAAAAAATGAAGCAAGAAGATATTGAAAAGTAGAATAATGAAAATCTCCCAATGATTCCTTTGACTGATTAACATGCACTTCAATCATTTCCAAATGGGATGTAAAACTGTCTCAAAAGGCTGTCTACACGGGGGAAATACATTGTGTAGCTATGCTAACTTCCATTGCCATACACAATCTTTTTTTTAAAAAAAAATCTTGACAACATAGTAATGTGTGTGTTGACATATCTCAAATGCCTGAGCATCAGCCAGTTATGGAAAGAAGCAGTGAGCTTTCAGGACAACAGGCTTTCCATTTTTGTGGCAGAGCCACTTGTTCTGATTTTAGTAAAAGCTAACCTCCCTACTATTAGTCACATCATGGAAGAGCTGAAACTATTTTCAAGTATGATATAAGGATAATATATCAAGCAAGATATGTAGTAACAGTTGCTCATATGATTCACAAGTGTTGATAGAATTCTGAAAGTACAAAGGCAGATATGTGTTTGCTGAATGATCATTTAAGGCAGGGGTCTTCAGACTTGGCCATTTTATGACTGGCTGAGGAATTCTGGGAGTTGAAGTCCACAAGTCATAAAAGGGCCAAGTTTGCAGAAACTCTGATTTAAGGGGAGCTGTTATACTTTCTGCAATTTATGACAGATCAAGTATTTAGCAATTACATTAGCTCTCCCATCTCCATCTTCATTCTGCGAATGTTGTCACTTACTGCATAGTATCTGCTGTTTAGCTTCAAAGAGCCCAGTGGCAATTCTATCAAACAGAGGTGCATCTGATATCAGCAATAGGAGTGGTTTTTTTTGTTTGTCATTGAGTTTTGAGGTCCATGCTATGGCAGCTTAAGAGATTTAGCCTCTATCAAAGTAGGTGTGTGTTCTTTCTACTTTTTTTGAACGAGAAATAAGATGGTTTTCCCAGAACTTGCCAGCTCCAACCAGAAAAAATAAGAATTGTGTGAAGCTGGCTCTGTTAGGAGGCCAGAAAAAGATATTGAATGAGAAGGGAAGTCAGAGAGAAATAAAGAGGAAACAGATGGGCCAAAAAAGAAGTACACCAGCAGCCATGACATGACATGACATGTTACATATACTGTACCACAACCAGCAGGTATATATGCAACAAGTCATGGCTATAGGTATCCTTTGCCTCTTTTTCAACAACTTTCCATAAATTCTTATTTTTTATTTTAACCAACTTCTAGTACATCAGACCTTGTTTAAGGAAGAATGAGAAGAATAGAGTATCATTGGTGTCATTTTCTTTATGCATAAGATCTTTCTTTAATACAACATCTGCACTTTTATTCAGTTTCTCTTTGAAGGTCATCTTGAAGGAAAATTGATATAGGTGGATTGGTATGTCTGTGTCTGTATACAGTACATGAATTATGTGTATGTGTGCGGGGTGTATGTGAACCATACATTCAGCTGAAGAAATAAAATGATTATTTGGAAAAGCAAAAATATTGAAGATGCCAGGTTCATGCACTCCTTGCTGCCAATTACTTACATTTTGTTCTCAGTAGTTGTCAAAGTAGCCTATTATACAATGGAATGCATTTAAAGACAAGCTCAGGATCCAAAAAGATCTTGACAAACTTGAACAATGGGCCCTATCAAACAAAATGAATTTTAATGTGGAGAAAAGCAGTTTTTTTTTCATTTAGGCAGGAAAAATCAAAGGTTTAAGTACAGATTAGGCAAAATCTGGCTCAAAAACAGCAACTATGAGAGGGACTTTAGAGTCCTAGTAGATGATCACTTGACTATGAGCCAGCAATGTGCAGCAGCAGCCAAAAAAGCTAACACAATCCTGGGTTGTATAAACAGAGGCATAGAATCAAGATCATGTGAAGTATTAGTACCGCTTTATAAAACCCAGTAAGACCACACCAGGAATACTGCAACCAATTTTGGTCACCATATTACAAAAAAAATGTTGAGACCTTGGAAAGAGTTCAGAGAAGAGCAACTAAAATGATCAAAGGCCAACTAAAATGATCAAAACATATGAAGAATGGCTGCAGAACTTGGGTTTGGCTATTTCTAAAGAAAAGAAGAAATAAGGGTGACATGATAGCAGTGTTCCAGTATTTGAGGGGCTGCCACAGAGAAGAGGGAGTCAAACTATTCTCCAAAGCACCAGAGGGCAAGACAAGAAACAATGGTTGGAAACTGATCAAAGAGAGAAGCAACCTGGAATTAAGGAGAAACTTCCTAACAGTGAGAACAATTAGCCAGTGAAACAGCTTGCTCCCAGAAATCGTGGGTGCTCCATCACTGGAGGTTTTTAAGAAGAGACTGGACAGTCACTTGTCTGAGATGGTATAGGTTCTCCTGCTTGAGCATGGACCTCCAAGGTCCCTTCCAGCTGTATTCTATTCTATTCTATTCTATTCTATTCTATTCTATTCTATTCTATTCTATTCTATTCTATTCTAAATTATGTACATAATATCCCTAATAATGCCTCTCCTGCAAAGTTTTATAGGGCTTTGGCTAAAAACAATGAAGGGCAATGTGGTGATATTTTAAAAGATAACAAAAATGTTTATTGTGAAAATTTGGGGGGGGTGGAGAGTTCAGGGTTTACATTGGTTAAAGTTATCTTACAGAAATAGCCAAGAACATAATTGAGAAAAAAACAAAACAAAAATGGAAAGAAGTAAGGGAGAAAGAAAGGATTCAAGTAAGTTGTTAATAGGAAATCTGAAAGCAGGGTTGATTTGAGATTTAGTTATACTTTGTATAGACTCAATAAAATCAAATTGTATTATTTATATCCAGGTTTTTCTCTAGGAGCCCAAGGTGGTACACATCCCATAGTTTTCCCCCCAAACAATAATCCTGAGCTCAAAAAAGAGTGTGATTTACCTGTCCAACATACATTATACTGGCTCTCATAATTGACTGAATACTTGTAGAATACTAACATCCTTTTTGGGCCAAGCAAATAAGTTTTCTGTTCTTCTTTCATACATCCTGCTCCTCATGTATGTACATGCATACCTGCGCATGCATATGTGGGTACTGACTTATTTTCACTGGGTGATCAAAGAGATGAGGATC